TGGACGGAGAAGGGGAAGAGGCTGTAAGGCAGCCTGCACTCTATCTGAAAACTGCCTCCCCCAGGCCCGGGCTCGGTGCCTCAGCTGAAGGCTGGGGTCCCCTTTGCTTGACCTACATGGGAACCCAGTTGCTGTGGTTTTCTGGGTCGTTGTGGAGGCAGTAAAGCCTAGTGGGTAAGAAAGTAGAGGCTGGAGTTACACAGACCTGGGTTCAAATCCTGCGGGGCCTTGGGCGTGTGTTCCCTTCTTTGCGTCTAGTTTTGTTATGTGTAAAATGTGGGTAATAGTAGCGCCCGCCTCCTACGGGTGCTGGTGGGTCACGAGATGATGCACGGAGATGCTAGCGCGAGCCTGGCGCACTGCGGTTAATGAGGGGCGGCTCCTTTGATGGGTGGGGGCCTACTGGGGCTTGCTTGCCTCGGTAGAGTTCTCTCCCCTCTTCCCACACAGAATATTCTGTAAAAGCTGCATGTGCTCGGGGGCCTGCAGCCCGGAGAACAGTCATGTTTTGGATGGAAATGAGCAGAATCACCTGGCAGGGCAGGGGGAGGCTGGGATCTGGAGCGGAGGGTTAGGGCAGGAGCTGGGGAGGAAGTGCAGCCGTCTCCCTCCACCCTCCGCGGAGATGGCCCTCTGCCAGCGTGTCTCAGCCGCTTTGGGTTTGCTGTGGAACCGTTGCTTCCAGCAGGAGTTTAGCCGCTTCCAGCCAAATGCAATAGCAAGAAAATACCACTGGATTCTTCAGGGAGCCAGAAGCTAAGCAGCTAATGGATGAAACCATCCACTCTCACTGCAGCCTAACAGCAAAAAGGCTCAGGGTTTAGTCTCCATCCCAGGAGCACTCTGTCATCTGAATACATTTCTGTAGCTGCTGGTGCCACAGAACAGTGGCCATGACAGGAAGCCTCAGACACAGGACAGAAGTAAAGAATACTGGCTTCGGCCCAAGAGAAAGGAGACGACGGAAAACCAGCATTTACTCTAGAAGTTCTAAGACCCAATCTCGCTTCGCCAAGTCTGCAGACGGCAGGATGCTCCCACTTCTGTAAGCCATCGGAACTGCTGTCCGTGTTGTCCTGAATGCCGGAGGCCAACAGGCTACTTCGCAGGATGTTCATGAGCTCATCTGCCTATCGGGAAGCCAGCCGTGTTTGTATCAAACTGGTTTATGCCTGTTCTGTATGCTATTGGAATCATGTAATGCCATCAACCATTCTGCAAACCAATGAAATATGAGTGCCAAAAGAAAGAATTTATGGTTACTAAACAACAACAACAACAGAATCCCACAATAAAACCTAAGTGGAATGTTCTGGAAAGACTCGAGAGACTTGAGACTCAAATTCACTTAAAAATACCATACAGTAAGGTGCAGGAGGCCGATGTTAAGAGACTGGAATACACAATAAAAATCTCGGAAGGCAGCTAGACTACTTCCCAAATGTCAAAATTCTTATTCCATTTTAAATAAAGATGGAATTTATAGACGTTCGACTACAGGAGAGGTGTGTGCAAGTAAAACGACCAACTTCAATCAGAAAAAGACCTTAGCCTTATATCCAAAGATCAGCAAATAAATATAGGCATCTCTTTTAAACTAAAGGGTGTCTTTTTAATGGTTGTACCTTTCTTGAACCAGCTTTTCCAATGAACCGATCAATATATCTGCTGTCCCCACACACTGGATACGAGGACACCTGTATATTGATTTCTGCCCTTTTCTACCCTTGTTTCCTGAAACTGAAGGGCTACGATCTGCCGAACTCAGGGTCACTGCAGCTTACATCCCCCCAGAACTACAGTCTCGGGTTGTTCTCCGAAGCAACAGTGAAAACGAGAGACTCGGCGTGATCAGATGTGTTTGGGGAGAGCTCCAAGCCGTAACCCCTCTTTCAATTCACAATGCCCCCTAGTACACCGAGAATAAAGAAACAAGCTAGCATTGATAACCCAGATTTCCCCAAACCTTTCCTGGGAGCAGCACGCCAGCGTCCCCTGCACAGGACTCTGGGAGTCAGTGCCTGAGGGCCCACGGAGGAGGTGTAGTGTACGTTCTCTGTTCTCCGACAATTTATGTCAGAGACATGAGACATGCAGACCGGACGCACGCCTGTCCACACAGAACAGGTAAGTAGCGGTATTACTCAATATGTTCTCAGGTTCAAATGCTGGTGAAATCAGTGGGTGTTATAGATCAGAACACAGACCAGCCATCTGCCTCTAATGGACTTGCACACATTTTGGGCCTTAGACTCCAAAACTTGTTCTTGCTGCACTGATCTAGAAAGTCTAAAGAGAACTCACATTGCTTAAGTGTGACTACGTGTCAGGCATGGCCCGTTAATGTGTGCTATCTCATTTAATTTTCATAACCAGAGAAAAGGGTATTATCTCCCTTTTTCAAAGAGACACTCAGAGTGATGGCACAGCCAGTGGGAGGGCCTCGGTTCATGCCCCTCTGCTCGGCCTCAGAGCCCGTCTTCGTTCCACTGTCCTCCAAGGGCCTTTCTAGCCTCGTTCCTGAGCTGCTGTTGGGGTGTGTGCCCCGGGTCTGGGTGGGCCCGCCTCGGCCTCTGGAAGACAGCTGTGCCGTGCTGTGTCCCCAAGTCTGCACTTCTCCCTCTCCTCCAAAAGGTCTGAGTGCTGACTTGAAGGGCCCAGGGGCCGCTCCCTTGTCCTCTCTCGATGGCGGCTGCGAGGAAGGCGTTGACGGGGGAGGCCTTTGCCGGGGTGAAGCGCTTTATTAATAGCGCCGGGCTGTGGCCACACGGACCTGGAGAGGGGCCGGGGGGTGGGAGGCTGCGGGCAGAGAGTCTCACTCAGCTTTTCAACAGGTCGTCCCCGTGGTCCCAGGTCCCTTTTGGGGAGCCCATCTGGGTTCCTCCTGCCCGTGGGCTTTGTGCTCAGAGTACCCCTCTCTTCCACCCTGACCTTCCTCTGCCACCCCAAGTTTGGCTGGAAGTGGCTGTGAAGCAGAAACAAGAGTCCCCGAGCTAACGAGGGGGCTCCGCGGGAAGGGGCGGGAGGGTAGGACGTGACCTGAGGTCCGAGGGAAGGCACGGCCAGGAGGGACCCGAGGGTGGCCCTCCATTCCCAGGCTGGCGAACTGCACTGGAGGGGGCAAGGTGGCTGAGGAAAGGCCCAGAGTGGGCGACAGGAGTTGGTGAGGGTCCCGGCCTGGACACCTGGGCCCTGGGCAGGCGACCTGTCTTCCAGCTTCCCTCCTACACCTGCATTTTCTCCCCTCAGAAGTGAGTTTGTAGGTGTGTTCACACGAGTCTTCCCAATGCGTGGGGTGGGGGGCGAGGGAGGAAAGAAGGGGAACACGTGCGTCAGGCACCACGGTGGGCCAGGGTCTCGCAACGGTGTCATTGCTTCACCACCGTCTTCAGAAGAGGTAGGTGTGGCCGGGTGACAGAGTGAAGGTGAGGCCTAGATTGGAGCTCAGGTTTGGCTGCCTCAAAAGTCCATGAGCTTTCTACCACCGCCTCAGCCCTCTGGTCATACCTCCCACACCACCGTGCTGCAGACAGCCCCCGCGGCGTGGAAGCCAGGGCAGGCAGAGGGCCACCGGTGTCCCCGCTGCAAGCTGTAGCTCCTAAGTCAGGGCTCTCCCAAGGGGCCAGCGGCTGCACCTGGCCCCGTCCCTTGGCTCCATCGCTTGGCTCTGGGAGTCCCTCCAACCTCTTCTTCTACCTTAACCCTCAGCTTTCCAGCCCCTTCTCTCCAAATTAGGTCACTGTTTGTTCCCTGGGGTTGTTCTCAAAACGTGTTCCCTCAGCAAATGTCTAGTGGCCCCAAGTCCGTAGGGGGGCACGTGTGTGGAGATGCAGAGCTCTGGCCCCACAGTGAGCACCCCGGAGTTCTTCCTGTCCACTGAGTACACGGCCTTTGCAAGGCAGGGTCCCCAAGATCCCACATCTGAGAGCCACTGCCTAGGCCAGGCTCGTGGCGTTTGGAGGGCCTCCCGTTTCAAACGAGGGGCTGTGCATTGACCGACTGATGCATTAATTCCCATGATCTATTTGACTGAGAAAGAGCTTCCTTATTCCTGGCTCTTCCCACGCCCCACAGGCCTAGTTATGTCTATAGTTACAGCGCCAAGCTGGTGCTTGTCGTGTGTCTGTGTATCTATGTTCTGCCAGGTCAGACCAAGCTTCTTGACTGCTGGGAGTCCATGTGTGCTCACAGAATCTACCTCCGCACCCTGGACACTCACGTGCGCACACACACACAGCCCAGACAGTCACTGGCCTCTATGGTGATGGCGCTTGGATGGCGCTAAGGGACTGAAGTCGTTGAAGTGATCCCTGACAGTCGACTGAAGTCTGCTATTGCAATGACCTGCAAGCACAACACTCCCATCCTGTTGGGAGCACACGACGGGCACTTTACAGAGACCACATTTAAACCTAAGGCTTTCTCTCCATTTCACAAAAGCAGCCACGAGGCTTATGACAGCATCTGCTCCGAGCCGCAGAGCTGAACTGGACACTGAGGAAGCCAGGATTTCAGCCCGGCTGCCCCTCCGGAATGAATGGGCTCAACCCCGCTCCCTGTGCTGCGCCTCATCTGAGCGGAAGCGAAGGGACCCACACCTCTGCTTCCCCAGTACGGGACTCGGGACCAGAGGAGCGGAGAATGAACATTGTCTTCCTTAAGAGAAGGGCAGGGTGAGGGTGCTGCCTGCAGGAGGAGGGTTCTGGACCAGGAAGACCCCACAGAATCTCACTCTGTTCACCAAACAGTTGTGTTCTTGCCCAGTACTCGAGTCTCTCCGGAGTATGTCTGTCCCACACCCTCTGATGTGGCCCTTTATTGAGGCAGCAGCAGCTGGCCCTAGCGATGGTCTCCCAGCTTTAGGTCCCACAGGAGCCTCCCCTCTGACCTGGCCCTGGAGGTGGTATCCAATCAGAGGGCCTGTCTCTGAGGCCACGCCCTCAGCCTCTGGGGATGCCGCTGCGCTTGGCACCTCCACAGCCTGGTGCACACACACTCACCATGAGATGCTGGAAGAGCCAAGAACGCATGATATTGGTGGCGTGCTTGGGCAAGACTCCTCGTTTGTTCTTGGACTTCTTGTCCTCATTGTCCAGGAGGGAAGTGAGGTCAAGGTTAACCTTCAGGGCACGTGGAGAAAAAGTCAGCATCAGCAGCCTTGGAGGACCAGCAGCTAGACACCTGTTGCCATAGTGATGGCAGGCTTTTGGCAGCCAACCCCCTTCCCAACTCGTTCTAGAGCCCTGGGAGGTCACCTTTCCCCTCACCTCGTGCTGGCCCCTCCGAGAATGGAGAAGGAAAGAGGAGAGGGAGGAGAGAGCGGAGGTGGAGAAGAGGGTGAGAGAGGAGACAGAGGGACGGTGGACCATCACTAGTCAGCATTTCTGGAGGAGTTTCCAGCTGCTAGTGGCCTCCTGTTCACTAGCAAGGGAGCCCTCTCGGCAGCCCTGGGGGGTGGTAGGGCTGTGCGCACCTGCTCCAGGTCAGTCCCCCTTTTGGCGATGAGAGCTCTGAGGCTCAGAGAGGTTAGGTGACTTAGGCACAAGGACAGAGTAAGCGTCAGACCTCAGGCCTCTGACCCAGACCTCTCTCCCCGGGCCCTTCTGCAGGCGCTCTGCCTCCCTGAGCTCCAGTGGCTCCGAGTGGAGACCAGAAACAGAAGTGCAGGAGCCTTTGCTGTAACGGGGAGGCAGCAAAATCCCAGAGCTGATAGAACCTCTCCAACACCCAGCTTCTTATCTGGAAAGTGGGGTGATGTTACCTCTTAGGGGAACAATGAGGCGAGAGTGAGTTACTTGTGGACAGTGCCCAGCAGCTGGGAAGTGATCATGGTTGCCCTCCCCACGCCATGCAAACGTGCACACACTTGCACACACACTCACCTGTGTGTTCTGGATCTGGATGGCTCCCTGGGGGATTGCTTGGGTGACCACCTGACCCTGGGAGGTTACCATGGTAACTGGCTGGTATAGGGCTCCACCTGAGGAGACAACCAGTTTTTGGGTCCCCTGTCATGGGGCCGGCGGGAGTGAGGGTACTTGCCTGTAAACACTTTCTGCTCTGGAGACATTCAGCCCCTGTGGAAAGGGGTGGGATGGGGGGCACGTGTTGGGGGAAGGGAAAATAGCCTTGTCTGATCTCTGGGGGGCTCATGAGACTTTGACCCAAATTTGTTCCAAACCATACAATCAAGTCTGGGTGCTAGCTACCTGTAAACTTACAGGACACTTTAGTTAAGAAACTCAGCGGGGAGTCCCCTCCCATTTCCTAGGACATTTGTGCAGTGCCCTGCCCCTCACCCCTGGAATCCCCCTGGGGCCCACCTTTTCTCTTCCCAGGGGTGTCCCCACAGTCCCCTGCACCAACCTGACACCACTTGTGAGTTGACAGTTGTCATGGCGATGTTGCTCTGCTGGAGCGCTGAGGCTGGGACCACAATCCCCTGGGGGTTATTGGAGACTCCGGACATGGAATTGGGAGAATTCTGCAGGAGGTCCTGGCAGTGAGGGAGGCGTGGTTCACGACAATGTTGCTAGGAGCTTAGACGCCACAGCCCGAGCCTCCTCTCCCCTTCCCCTTTCCTGCCTTCCCTCGGCCCCCCTTCCTGCTCCCACCGAGCCCCAAATCCAAAAGGCAATTCTCATGGCTTCTGGAAAGGGTGAGTCAAAAGGCTCAATATTAAAAACCAACCAACCAACAACAGTCACCCATTTAGCCATCCCCTCGCCCTGTAAACCTGAGACCTAAACGACCCCATGAGCCCGAGGTCCCCATTGGCCTTGCTCTGGAATGTCCATTACTGATGTCCGGGTTCCAACCCCGGAGATGCTAATTTACTTGGTCAGGGGTATGGCCGGGCTTTGGGGTTTTAAAAGCTTCCAGGTGGTTCTTACGTGCAGGGGGCTGAGAATCACGCTTTCGGTCTCAGCACCGCCATCCTTGCCACTCAGCCGCTCCGTGCGCCACCCCTCCCCCCACCTCAGTCACAGCACTTCCTCCACCAAGTCCACACACAAAGCGGCTTCTGATGTTTTATCTTTGTCTCCTCAGCACCCAGCTCAGTGCCTGGCACCTAGCAGCTACTAAAAGACTTGCTAAATAATCATAAGAAACGGCCGCCTTGCCCCTTCATAGCCTGTCTTCTGAGGGCCTCTCTTATGAGCCTCAGCCAGACGCACATTCGTCAGGTCCTTCCTCTTCCTTGGTGCCCACGCAGACTCCAGTGCAAACAGAGTCCCTTCGCGCCCCCTTGCCAACCTGCCGGCCCATTTTCCCAGGGGACAATCTGTGCGTTCGTTTCTGCAGTAAGCAAAGCCGCTAGAAAGACCCCCTATTTCCCTGGCACCCTGCTCCCCTTACTGCCATTTAATAGCAGGGCAAGGAAGTGCTCGGCCTGGTGTTGAGGGGCTTTCCGCCAGAGAGGAAGGAGACAGGGCCGCAGGCACAAGGAGGGGCAGTGAGCCCTCCCTGCAGGGTGGTACTGCGTGCGAGAGGGTGGGGTCTCCAGGCCTTACTTGGAGGAGGTGAGACAGGCAGCCCCCCTGGGTCTCTCAGCTCCTCCGACCACAGCTCCTTGCCTGAAATCAGAGCTTGGGCAGATGCCCAGGGACCCCCAGCGGCTGACATTCCCATGCTCCAGGCTTGGATTCCTCAGGCATGTGCTGTAAGGACTTAGACAGGTACACTGGCAAGAAAAACAGGCCAAATGGGGGGAAAGAAGACCCCAGCTTCCTAGCTTTTGTTTTAGGACTGACAGAAGCTTGGGCCTTACCCTCCAGGGAAAGTCTAGAGTGTGGAGTCGGGAGACACGTGTTTGGAGGAAACCTTTAGCCAATGGCTGCACCTGCAGCAACAGACACAGGAAGAGTGTCAAAGGCGCAGGGACAGCCACCGGGGCCACCTCCCAGGCCCAGCGCCCTGGAAGTTACAGAGCCTCTCGGTGGTCGGCCCTGTGCACACAACTCACTGGGCTGCCCATCAGCCCCGGGCATCTCCTCCAGAGCAGCCCTGTTAGCCTCCTGGACGGTGCCCGCCCGGACCTAGAGGAGCAGCACCGGGACGGGAGTCGCCCCCCTCCCCCACCATGCCTGGCAGGCCTCTGGTCGGAGGCCTCCTTCTATTCTTGGCTCAGCTCTGCTCTGTGACCTTGGGGCAGGGAGCCCGCCCTGCCTTCCCCTTTCCGGGACTCCGAGCAGAGCTCTGGGCAGTCCCAGGCTAACACCGACCTGACTGCAGACGCCTAGGACCTGGAGAGGCCCTTAAAAGCCGGAGCCCAACTTCCTGAGGTGCACGTAAGGAGTCGAGGCTCAGAAACCCAGGTCCTGGTCCGAGGTCCCCAGCCGGTGGGCAGCCCAGGCTCCCCACAGCCGTCTTTCCTCCACACTCCCCTGTGCCGGGACGGGGGCTGCAAGGTGAACCCTCAGTCACGGGCTCAACAGCAGTACTGAAGGCAGGGTGAACAGCCCCCCGACCCAGAGGCACAGGGCAGCGTGGGCTCCAGGGGCTGGGAACCGGCAAGTCAGGGCCCTTCTGGGGGCCTCCGCCTCCTCGTTTACAGAACATGTGCGCCCAGTGCACACACCCCATAACCTCGAAACCCGTTTCGCCTGTGTGTCTGCTTCAGGGTTCAAGTCCCCTCGCCCAACCATTCTCACCGGAGGTGAGCAGTATGATGGCATCCGAAGCTGAAGCAACTTAGAAAGGACGTGTGATGGAGGAGGCTCCTCCGTGCGCGCACCCTAAGCCGCATGGCGTTAACTTTCCAGTGATCTTTCGCTTGGACTCATCCACGCCATGGCGTCCCCATTGGGAAGGCTATTGGGGGATTTCAAACATAAAAAGCTGTCCCAGGCCCCCCCTTGTAAACTATCCAACAAGGTTAGAAAGACACAAAGTCAGTAAAATAAATACAAGAGGTGTGCCTTGGGATTCAACCAACACGTTTTACTAGCGAGACACCAAAGGTGAGCTATCTCCATCAACAATATACTTCAGCTGGCTGGGTCTCGCCTGTGGCTGGCTTGCCGTCATGCCAGCTTACCCTGTCTGGGTAACAAGGGCGATGTATATACTGGACAGATCCTCTTCTTCCCAACCCTTTCCTCCTACTCTGGGCCTGCAGCCAAGTCCACATTCTATCAGCCAAGGGCTGGAATGGAGAACCTCGGGGGTAGAGACCCAGGGCCGGGCCAGGCTGCCACGTCTTACTGGGCAGAGAAAAGAAGCAAAATCTTGGCATCCCTGAAGTTTGGGGAAATGGGAATTCACCCCTTCCATCTGTAAGTATGAGCTGATCCACAAACCCGCCTGAGCACTGGGGTGTTTTTGAAGACACAGACTCGCGGGGACATCGGATCTGACCTCAGCGATCTGAACGCTTACTAACCGCTCTCAGGTGAGCTCAAAGATCAGATGGGTCTGGAAACTCTGTTTATCATACACATGGAATATCAGAGCACAGCCTTTCACCATGTCCTTTCGCTTTTACCTCACCACCCCCGTGCAGTCGGCAGCGCAGAGTCATTCCATTTGTCCGCAGAGGAATTGAGGTCCAGAGAATGGAAGTTACTTCTTAGCGTCTAGGAGCTGTGCCTCGAACCCAGGTCCTCTGGCTCTGAGTGTAGCACCGAAGCTCACACAGAAAGCCATGCTTCGGGGTCAGACAACCAGGCTGCCACGTAGGCACCCAATAAATCATTTCCTGCTTCCTCTGGCTAGAGTCACTCAGCTAGGGAGTGACACAGCCATGACTGACACCTGGCCCAGGAGGCTCTTGACTTAGCAGCAGAAGAGATTCATCTGGGCTGCAGGCCTAACCATGTGGTCAGTCCTTGCCACACGCCCCCCTCCATTCCTGCCTCTCTGCCTCCGAAGTTCCTGGGCCAAAGCTGCACCCCTGAAGTCGAAGCTGTAGCCCTGTCCAGCTCCATGACTTGACTTTGCGGCTATTTTGGGTTGAATCTGTCTCTCTGGAGACAACAACGCTCTGAGTCTCATGGCAGCTGTGGGAGCCCTTTGGGGAGAAACTGTTGGCTAAGCACACAGTTTCCTCCACAGCTGTCTCCTCCACAGCTTCCTTTTGGGGATCATCAGACTCCAAACCAGGCAGATGATGCTCTGTCCAGACCCAAACAGAGCAGTGTCTTCCCCAGCTCCTGGGCACCCACAACGAGGCGAGGAGCACATCTGGTAGAGTTTGTGACATTTTCCAGCATCCAGTCTCACATCTCTGCCACAAACCAGGGGCTGAAAGCTGGTTACCCAGCCCAAGGGCTCTTTGTCTTGTCTCACCAGGAACATGGCCCTGGTGTCCCCAGGCCCCTGGACACCTCTGGAAGCCCGGGGATCCTGCGCACTGTCCCGGCCTCTGCTCTCCATCAGGCTGGGGAGAGGGGGTCCTCTTACTCTCCAGTAGGATTTATTTTCTGGAAAGGGATGGGCCAAAAAGCTGAAGACTTTTCCTAGTTTTCCAGGAATGATGTCTCACAGGGCACAGACCAGGTGACGCCGGAGTCAGTGGAAGTCTGCCCTCTCCCCTCCTTGCCTGCTGTGTCCTGGAGACACAGAGAGGCCGACAGCCATCAGGAGGGGGCAGAGGAGCAGTAGGCTGAGAGCTGGCACCCCCTAAACTCCCTGGGGCCATCAGTCATTCTTGCTGGACCACAGTGGTCACTGGGTGAGTCTCGCTCCAAATCTCATTTTTAGAACAACAACAACAACAAAAAGATGACTTGTTCAAGACAAAGACCTTACTAAGAAAAAGTGACCGGCTCCGTGATTACCTCTGGAAGCTGGGGCGGGGGGGGGGGGGGGGCGTACACAGCGACCTGCCAGTGACTGTGACCTCTGACACTGGTCTGCAGGCAGCCCGGAGGCACGGTGCCCCATCCGCCAGCCCCGTTCTCCACAGTTAGTAGGGAAGGAGCTTCAGCTGCCTGGGGAGACTTCATTCCCACTAAAGGAAGACATTTCTGGACTGAACTGTTTTGGGAAGAAGAAACGAGGAGTGAAGGAAAAACGGATAGAACAGTTTTCCTTTGAAGTTGTTTTGGAATGCTGGAATTGTTGTCTTACCAGGATGCCTATGATACAGCGGAATAAACTGGACGACGGGCAAAGGTCCTTCCACCTGAAGATTTTAGAAGAACCAATGCCATTCCCTAAGGTTTATTGTGTGGGTAGGTGGGAAGTGAGTGCGTTGAGGGAAGGGGGGCCAGTGCAAAGCCAGGTGGGCCCCAGCTGTCTGCCATCCACACACCCGGCCACTAGGCGTCTCTGCTGATCCACCAGCTCAGATCCGCTCCCCAAAGCTTCCCCAGGCCTCCCAGGTCTCCCAGGAGGGTGGGTTCCTTCTCTGACTTGCCAGGGCTGGGGGTGCGCAGACAGTTCTGAGTGCCTCACGTCTGCTGTAAAGCTTGTCCTGAAGAGCCCCGGGCATGCCCACGGCCCAGGCTCTTACTCTAATGCTTCCCGAGGGCCGGATGTACTCCACGTATG